GTTTCCCAAACGCTCTCTCCACAGCCATGCGAGCAGATGAATGTACTTTATTGTATTGTCGTTGAGGTCTAGTAAGCGGCTGAGTCATGCGCTCCTTAAATGGCACAAGCAACCATGGCATTAAAGGGAATGCAGAATCACCTAGTATGTGTGTATCATTTGGAAAGCGTCGGGCTGGATTCTGAAAAAAAAAACGGTTTAATATGTGGCATAATTCGTTGCAATTGCTTTGTTTTTGAATACTAATACTTACACCCATTACTTCACTCCAAAAGTTTGACTGTTTAAAAACCCTCGAATCATGCATACTACCAGGTTGGCCAGTATAAACAGGTAAATTTTCTCCATATGATCGACAATAGCCATTAATACAACACTATAGCATGTGTTGTATGTCAATTTGGAATTTATGTCAATCTAGAATTGACATATTAATATGTCAATTTGGAATAATCAATGAAGGCAATGTATTTTATTATTTATTATCAGGACTATAGTATGTGTTAACCATAATGTATCATATACTCAATTTCATGCTTCTCATATCAAACGCTGATTTGTTTCAGCACAGCAAATATAAGTGAGTTGAGCTTGTTACAATCTGAACTTTTTGCTCGCAAAAAATTTTTAGGGCCATTTGGGTTGTTTTCCCCGGCAACCCACCCTCTGACAAATATAGCGTAGAATCATCTGAGAATCAATTTTCGACGATAAGTTTATTAGATTCGAATAATGTATTACATTATTAGGTACATATCTTTATGTGCTATTGCGATTTATTTCATGCAGTTCTATAGTTAAAACACTAAAGACAAACTTGTAAGAAATATGGTTATGCCATATTTAAATTGCATCTATGTTTAGGTATCTACTTGCAAGAAAATATTATTTCCCTTTCTTACTTATTTATCGCTATGGTAAATTAACTACTAGTGATGATTCCTTACACTATCCTCTCCTTATTATGACAATCTATTCATGCGACGAATTGCCCGATGTGTGTCATCATTAGTGTAGAGGCAAATGTCTTCAACTATCGAAATATGAATTATGTCTGAATTTAGCATTTGAAACTGATGTCAAGTATCGGAGCATTCGTATTACATTATTAGTGTAAAGATTTATCTGTCAGTTTGCATGTAATCTAATAACTTTAATCTAATATCGATGATTAGATAATAGCCATTTACAGTCTAACCATATTCCAACAATTTGATGCAAATCATCGTACGATGGATTTTAGCCAATAACTCAACCAATAATTTCAATGCAAATCATCATACATTAGTATTAGATTACATTGCAGTTTAAACGAAGTATACCGAGAATTTTACAAACATTAGAATGCAAACATTAAAATACATTCTACTATAATCATCCAAAGAATATTAGTGAAGGTGACCTGGTTTTTCTTGATATACCACATGCTGATGGAATAAGTTCGACCGCACTAAATTACCTTGCAAAGTCATTCGTGTGTTTGAAAATGGGTTATGTCAGTTAGGATGCTCTTCAGGTATACTAAATATCAAGTATTCGACAGCAAACCTTGAAAAGGTGGAGTCAGGTATTCACTATGTAGAGCTTACTAGTATACCTAAGAAATCAGTAACTGTTCACCAAGCAGTCTCAAAGCAAAGTTGATCGCAATTGTAAGACAAATTGTTCCACAGCTCGATGTGCTTGTCATAAAGCTATGCTTACCGTAAATGTAATTTAAACTGTCATTCTCATAACACACGACGCTGTAATACTAATTGAATAGTAAAATAAAATTTCTACTATATCGTTATTTAAGTTGAGGAACGTATCGCATAATTATAATGAATAGATATTATTGTTTACTAGTATTAACCTACTATTATCTCAAATTGACATATGTTGATTCTAGATTGACATAAATTCTAAATTGGCATACAACACAATGCTTTACGATTAATATATCGTTGATGATATTCAACTTGTGGTCGTTGAATTGGAATATGGACCAATCAATGGCTCCAATTACATTTGGTATACGATTTCTAATTTAGGTGGAGCAAAACCTTCGACTACGTCTTGCATTAATTGATCTGTGGGCCATTTGATTGCATATTGTAAATTTTCCAGAACTGCGATGCAAAATCTTTTTGTGAAATTTTGCACAGATCCCTGGCTGATACCAAACGATGTTTCTAATTCTCTATAAGACGTAGGGTTTGCGATACGATTGCAACTTGCATTTCGATAGATAGGAGTTTGTGGTTTGAATGGATTAGACTGATAGACGGGATGATTGGAGATGGTATTAAGAAGTCTGTGGAAGG